AAGACATTGTTAGCAAGTATTAATAAAATCTTGATCTCTGATTTCAACTTGTGTTGCATTTTTTACGAACTAGTTAACAACCTTGATCATATTTAAACTTTTTTTATTAGTGCCTACTTGAGTAATATGGAGTGTTATGTATTAAAAAGTCAAATTTTTAAAATTTTCTTTGATTTTTATATTGTATTTAATAAACGAGTTTTTATACTATAAGTTAGATTCACAAAACGAAATTGAAATATAAAACTTTGTTTTTATTTATATATTATTTAAATTCTAAGCTTTATTAAGAAAGTCCAACTTATATTCAAACCTTTTTTAGTAAAGATCTATTAATTGACAAGACAGTTTTTGATAAATTTTTGTATCGTATATTTTGGATAAGGCAAAAAAAAAAAAAAATTTAATTAAGTGTTGAAAGCGTTGACATTGCGAATGTAATATAATATTGATCGAACAATGTGCTATAATAGTAACTTAATATTTTTTTATATACTGATCACATACTAATCATGCTGAAATTAATAACTTATTGAATTTGGCCGAATAGACTTTGGCAATTTTTTTAAGGATGTCCCAGAATTTATGAAAACAGCGGTCCTTTCATTTGGCACTGGGGTGTTTTCAATTATTTAAATAAAGATTGTAAAATAATCATTACTGCATTATAATACAAAAATAGCTTTTATTACACAGATCATGCCAAATTTATAAACTTAATCAAACTAGCTGAAAAAACATTTGGCTAATTTTTATCAGGTATTCTCAAAAATTATGATAGTAGCTGTAAAATTTGTAAAATTCTTGAAATCAGTTGTTCTCACTTAATTGACTTAATTTATTCTTTCTAATTTTTTTTTTTAACTATTTGCTAGTGAAAACGCTTTAAAGTAGCTTTACGAATATGAGTGTTGTCAAGGAAAATCCTGTTATTGTCTTTCAATTATATTTATATTGAGTAAAATCTAATTTATTAGGAATTGTGCCTATTACAAAATATAATTGAAAGCTTAATAAAATGTTTATCCCTTGATAGCACTTATATATATCAATTTATTGAACTTATTCCCAAAATCACAAATTTAATCGAATCAGCCAATAAATCATTTGGCCAATTTTTATCAGATATCTTGGAAATTATGATAATAGATATATAGTCAACTCTCTCTAAGTGCAATGCGACGGGACCATATATAAAAATTTTACAAAACATGCACTTAGAGAGATATTGCATTTAGAGGAGTAGAGATTAGGCCCAGATAAGGATTATCTGGGTAACCCATATAAGCACTCTTATCAAGGTAGAAACTTTGTTAACCGGTTAATCTGAATAAGAAATTAAAATTAGAAAAAAATAAAACAACCAGGTTTATATGTAATTTATAATGATTTGAATATTTTTAAATTGTGAAATAAACCGATTACTGTTATATTAACCAGTTCTAACCTTTTATATACTTATTGCTGACAATTGTCTTAAATAAGAATTCCGAATTACTATTTAATTTTCGGAAATACAGCTATTTCTCATAAATTCTAAAACAAACTAAAAACTTGCTTGTTTCCCGAAATCTCTTTAGTTTCGTCCTATGGATTATCTAACTCTTCAGAAAATACATCGCTATTTCCGAACTGAAGTTTCAAAGACAATAACATGATTTTGAAGAGTTAGGTGACCTTTAGAATAAAACTAAAGAGATTTCTGAAAGTGAATAAATTTTTAATTTGCCCCAAATTTTATAAGAACAGCTGTAAAAATAAGGAACACAAAGTTTTATTAATATCTTAACCGGGTTAACCGGAGCATTCGAGTTAACTGGGTTGTTATCCGGTTAAGGATTTGTTATACGGGTGGATTATCTGGAGTAGAAATTTTATACGGGCTTAATCTCTATAGAGGAGTAAAAATTTATAGGTATAATAGTAGTTGGGACCAAGAGAAGGCTTGCATTTAGAGAGACCTTTCATAAACTTGTACTTAAAGGAGTTGTACTTAGAGGGAGTTGACTGTATATATTAACAATATTAAAATAGTGATAATATGATCAAATATATATTTAAAAGTTTAATAAAATAAATAAATTTAACTATATAAATAGTCTTATATATAATATTTAAATAATACTATTTATAAACTTCCATGGCAACACCACAGGTCAAACACTAGTTATATATAATGTGAACTAAATTTGAGTAGAGCTAAATTTAAAAGTATTATATAAGTTTTAGCTATTGATATAACTATATTATTTTCTTCTCTTTTGTTTTCTTTTTTTTGAAATATGTGTTAATTTTTATTTTTATTTTTATATTTAACCAAATTTAATAAAATTTTTTTATTTAAATATTATAAATTAGGCTAAGCAAAATTAATTTATTATAGTTTTTATACTTAGCTAAATCAAATTTCGATAAATTAAAAAAAAGGTTTTCTTTAAATCAAAAAAAAATTTATATATAATTTTTTAAAAATAAAGTTAAAAACCAGGTAGTGGGTTATGATTTTATGTTACTGTATAAAAACTAAAAAATTACAGTAACTTTATTTTATTAAATTTAATTAAATAGTTATCTTTGTTCAAACTTTAAAAAAAATTTAACATAAACAATTTGTATTAAACTAAAATTAAAAGATATATAAATATATATATATAATTGTATAAGTCTGTAGAATTAGATCACATGAAAATCACGTTGTATATTACAAATACATAATCTGTGGCTAATAAAAAAAAAATAGACTTTATCGTTATTATCTTTGCTCCTACATACGTACGTTCATCCATTTAGAAATGAAGTTTAAATTTAAAATTATTAAGCGAGCCTTTTTTAAATTAATTATTAAAAAAATTGGTTAAAATTAACTTTCATTGAAGCCCAAAAACAAAGTTTATAATGGTTGGTTATTTGTGCAATGTTGCGTTCTTAGAAAGTGCACTAAATAAATTATCGGGTAATTGATATTCCGACAACTTCTATCAGAAGTTTATCGTTATTAATAGAATTATCACTGTAATGCGGCATCCATGTTAAATTGTTTCATAAAAATTTTTGCTTCAGAACATAGTTTTCAAGTATATATTAAAAATTTCAAAATTTATATTACACGAATTTTTATATTTAAAAGTTATTTGCGGACCAACTTTGTGCCATCCAATAGAGTATACGTAAGTATGTATGAATAATTATTATTTAGGGGTAAAATAACCAATAAACTTAATATGCCAAATATCTATACGAACAAGTCACCCTAAAAATAACTGACTGTAGTACTGAAAAACATTATGAACAACCTATTGATAATGCGTAAGGTTTCTAGATTGAGTTAAACAAATTACATACAATATTAGATTATATAGATTGTTAATTATCTGATATCTGATATGAGCTTAACGCGTGGGTGCTACGCACTGTATACACATAGGATTTCCTAAAGGTCAGCTCAAGAAAAATTTCGAATATCTAATTGTTGGATATTTTTAAGCAAATCATATAAATAATATATTAGTAAATGAAAGAATAAAATTTAAAATGAATAAATAAATAATATGAAGCAAAAACAAAGATACAAAATACTGTATATAGGGCTTTTATTTACATTAAAATGACATTCGGTTTGTTACTTTGGAGAATGCTTTGAAGAAAAGAACTTGCTAACAAATTCTTGTGCAAACGATAATTGATTATTAAAATCTTTATATACTGTAGTAACTCAAATAACGCATAGTAATCAAAGACTATTTCTTAGAAAAGGAAATGTTTCCTTTTAGTAAACAATATACAGTATTAAGATATAATTACTCGGTTTTACAATAATTTTTATACATAGAAAATATTAAATTTATCGATTAATCGAAAAAAGAGACAGTAGGTGAATCTTTGTCTTACGGGGAGGCTTATGATGTTTTTGGGGAACGCGTATATTTATTTTATCCACATAAAAAAAAAAAAAAATGTTTACGCGATCATTATTTATATAAATTTTAAATAAGGAAAAAAAAGAAAGAAATGTGTAATGTAATAGATGGCTTGGCTTTAGCGGAGATATTTGCTTGGCACGTTGTACAAAAATCGAAATGCTAAAACGTACTCTTAATTTGGAATAATTAGTATAATTTAGCACCACAGAGATCGATATGTTGATAAACTTTATGCATTTCAGCCAACTGACATTTGGTATCATTGAATCTAGACCATATGAATAAGGTGAGAAAAAAGATTATATTACCAAGTTTGACAATGGAAAATCCTTTTTTAAAGAAATAAAGGTTAATACTCAAATCATGAAGGCTTATTAAGCATACACCGTGAAAATTTGGCAAGTAAATAAAGGTTACGGATAAGGAGACCTGTTAGAAGTAATGTCAATAACGATCTATTTGAGTGTATGTGATCGACTTGCATTATAATATAAAAGAGCGACCCCCGATGCATTCTGTTGCGTTATGACCTCTATTGAATTCTATTTGTACACAAATTTTTATAAATAATAATGAAGGGGGTTATCACTGTGTACAAATAAAGAACGAGTCATTATATGGTAAGTTTTTATAATAAACATCCGTGCTTTTGTTTAAAACAATCCGTGCCAGGTTAATTAATGCGCACAAACCAAGAAAGATTTACGTGAATATCAATGATTGTGCAGAAGATTTGAATAAGGGCCTAGAGCATGTCTGGACTCGCTCGTAAAGCTTATTTAAGCATATAAACAAATTTAAGCGTATAAACAAATATTTGCAGCCTTAATAAAGTCTGATTGTCATAAATATGTCGATTTTTTGCAAAAAAAAAAATTACTCATCGAAAAAAAAAACCATCCTTTTTGACTTTACATTCTCTCAAAAGTTACCGCACATCTTATACTGCCTTAAAGCATTTTAGTTTGAACTGAATTTTGTAAGTAAATTGCTTTTTTGCCTTTATTAAAATGAGTTCATATATTATTAAGCTTTTTTTTTTATTGACAATTTATATTGTTTTATATAATAGGAAAAAAAATGTCTTGCGAGAAAGACGACACTGAAATTTTGGAATCATCCAACCGTGCTCGTATTATCGCAGGCGCAGTTCGAGAAGCTTGTTGCTTAGCAACCAGCACGGACAAGCAAGATTGGGAAAAGGCACATCAAATGATAATTCAGAACAAACATTTAATTGAGGATGAAAAGAATGTAATAATTAATCTTTTACGTCCTAATGCTGTAAGTATATAATCATTTATTATTATAATAAAATGAAATGCTATTTCACAATTATATTTATCATGTACCTTATTTTCTTATTAGAATTATTAAGGATTATATTATGGACTTGAACATCCTACACTCTTTCATTACTCAATACCAAACGTCTACTTTTTTCCATCTAACCTTCGAATTACATTCAACTTGACTCCAAATTACAACTTGAATATTACTCAATATCTTGAGTTCTTAAGGTTTCGTTAATTCCGGAATACCGCTTATTAAGCACTTATTGTAAATGTAATACGCTGTCATGATCAATCAGATCATTATGTAATTATAATACTGTAATATTACAATTATCTTTTTACGTTTATTTGGTTATTATGTCTAAGAAACAACCATGTTAGTTGCCATAAGTTGATGCATGTGCTGCACATGATCAGTTTTCTTTTTACAATGTACTTTATTATTAATTATGAGAAATTTATAAATTTCATGTAAAATAAACTTTTATTTCATTATGGTGTGTATAAATCAAATTTGGATTGAGTGTTATATATATATCACTAAAAAGTGATAAATACTTGTAGTATGTTCGTTATGAAGTCACTCGGAATTTTTTATTATTATTATTTCTGTGACAACTTTGGCTTTTGCAACTCGAAAGAAAAAAAAAAGCCTAGAGAAACTATCGTTGGTACAATACCTAAAAAACCAATTTACCCAAGTTGTTTGTGGGATAATTCAGCACGCGAACTAATTTTACCATTATAAAATTTATGAAATCAACTTTAGCTAAATCATATATGGGTGGACATTAATCTGTTAGGCCAGACCAACTTGATTCCCTCTCTTAGTAAAAAAAAAAAAAAAATTTTTTGAATAAATATACAGTATATAGGGTTGCAGAACATTTTCGGAGAAATTTTATATAGTTACGGATTATTTGAGCGCTGCAAAGCGAAAACCTGTAATTGTGAGTTTTCCGAAATTAATTTTACAGATCAAACCCCGAAAAACACAATATAATTTATGTTATCGTTATGCTTAATTTAAATTTATCAAGAGTCGGATCTGAAAGCGGAGCCGGCAAAAACCGAAATTCCAGGTTTTCGCTTTGCAGCACTCATTTCTGAAAATTTTTATTACACGTCACTCTGGTTATATCGACTCTCTACAAAAACAATGAGATTGTCTGATATCGGTTTAACCAGAGGCATTTTAAGTATTAAGTATATAGATTCAAATTTAAAAATTTCATGGCCAGATGTCGTTATAACCAGAGTGACGTATATAAACCCTTCCTTCCCTCTCTTTCAGGAGAAGAGTGTATTGTAGCACTAAATCAAATTGGTCTGGCCTATAACTATAATTTGAACTTAAGTTCTTCGAGAACTAATCTGTCAAAAAAAAAAAAAAAACTTCGGTTTGTATTATTTATGGCCATTGAAATAACGCAATTTAGGTGTTGTAGTCTACATTTTAGGTTTTATTAATAGCTTGTAAATTATCCACGTGATTTATATTGGATCACGTGTTTATACATAAATGCGTATTACCCTAAGAATTAATACCGATACCGTATTTCTTGGGCTAAACCCCCTCCTCTTTAGAATCCTTAACAGAATTTGTCTAGACATTTATTGTTATCTAGCATAGGTAGTACGAAAATATAAAATATAAATTTGTACCATTATGACGATAATGTTAAGACAAAATATAAAGTTGTGGAAATTCTACAAGGGAGGGTGGTTTAGCCACGAATTACGGTAATGACAATACTGACATTAATAATACAATGATACCGGGTAAGGATGATAAGTTAAATCTAAAATGACGAATATAACAGGTAGGATTTATTGAGACGGGAAAATGCATACATTTTCATAATTAGAGATCTCTATTTTTCCACGATACTGCTCCTATTCAATTCTCTTATATTACTGCTCTAGTCATTGGACTACTTGATACGTGCATTATTATCGCGCTAGATAATAGTATGTAACGCTTTCCTGATATGGTAAATAGGTAATAAGCAACTTTTTGTACCTCGCGATATATCTATCATCTAAGCCTCTAAGTTTCAGTTATAGCTTATTACAACTTGATAATATAAAAGAGAAGGATGAAAGAGTGAAATAAAAATTTTCTTTTTACCTATGACGTGTAGTTCTAACCGAAAGTTATCTCTTTATACCTAAGCCCCGGTGGAAGTTTGTCTAAGCCGAATCCAGGCTGAGCCCTCAGCCAAGTTAAACCCGTGTTCGGAATTTGCTTGATGAACCTGCGAACTTCAAATTCTTTTAAATTCTGCAACGTATTTCATATATAAAAATTCATACAGTAATTACAACTAAAATTAAAATTCAGACACTGATCAGAACAAAGCCAAAACTTGTCTAAGTATAGCTCGAGCCTGAATTTGTAGAGAGCTAAGGCTGACCTAGATGTCTAAGCCAAAGAAAACAATTCTTCTTTAAGATCGATCAGAACAACAGATGTAACAGAGACCATGGGATGGTCATATGTACGTAACAGTTTATTGTGTGTGCATATGGACAATATGTACAATTTTGCAATTATTATAAGCCGAGAGACAATCATAGATTATTTGGCGAGATTAGCGTCAATAATTGTACCCTATAGAGTATACGTAATACCCGGTATAAGAAAAACATAATCTTTAAAGTTAGCAGTTAGTGTTTTATATGTAAAATTAAGGTTGAATATTTTTACTTAAGAGCACTAAGCTGGTTTTCTTAATTATAAAATTTTGAGATATTAACAATTATGGATTTTTTTTATGCCCATATGGAAAGGCTCGTATTTAACGCATATAAAAAATGTTCAGCAAATCTAAATTATCGTCGTTCCTGTTAATCAAGATGATAGTCGAATAAGTAGAATATACGTATGTAAGTAATTAAGTACGTACGTATGTACAGTACGTAGGCAGATACTTGTCTTATTTTGAAGTTTTTTTAGAAAAAATAGTTTAGAATTACAGAATTAGAAATGACGCGGGTATGCTTATTGGCGATGCACAAATGCCTGATGATTAGCATGTGATATTTGCGCATATGTGTTTAATAATCGAAATTATCTTTTTTTATGTATCTATTTATAGTTCTAGGCCCACAGAGGCTCGCCGTTAAGGTGAGAAGATGTGGGGGTGAGTCAATAGAAATCAAGCAAATTTTTTATAATAAAAATTTTTTATAACTTCAAACAAGAATAACTAAACAAAAACTTGACCAAATTTAATGAGAATTTTTTTTAATAATTTTTACGGACTTGTAGAATTAATTTAAAAAAAATTTTATTGAATTTTATCAAGTTTTTGTTAAGTTATTCTTGTTTAAAATTTTTAAAAAAACTTATTAAAAAATATTTGCTTGGTTTCTATTGACTCAACCCCATGTTATGATTATAATCTATACGTAAGGCTGTGTGTGTGAGGCTAGGTATTGATGATATGAAGCCTCCAGCAGGATCTGATTTCTTAGTGACATAAAATGTATAAAACCACGGACTGCCCAATTTTAAGAGTTAGTAGCGTAGTAATGACACATTATGACACATTATACAAAAGATGATAACTTTTCTTTCATTCGTTTCTAACTATCATTAAAATTCGAGTTCAACTCTATTGAATATGGGAGACTCGATTCGAAATTACGACTAAATTCGTGCACACGTCGTACGCTGTTTTTCCAACTACTATAGTCGTGACAATATATTGTTATCATCTTCATGGGCCCGTGCACCGTCGCTTAAACCGTCGCTAACAAAAATGATCATTTTCGAAATTAAACACCGGTGAACTTTGTTCTCAATACAAAATTTTATTAAGCCCCTTAAATTACGCGTAATTCTATATATTCCAATCTATGCTAAAAATAAGTTGCCAATTTTGCCAATTCAACCAGAAAAAAAAAAACCCCACTTTAAGCATTTATTATCTAAATTTCATATTACCTCTTTACAAAATTTTAAGATTTATGCAAAAAAAAAAAATTTCCCTTTTTCATTTTGCTTTTTTTTTCTTGAGCGAGCGAGCTGTATATACATATTCATTATTCATCACATTAATCTTTTTTATTGTAAATTTTTTTTCGTTTGTAAGTATCCTTTTTGTAAAATCCTATCACATCCTTAATTTTTTTTTTCTATTTTATAATAATTGATATAAATTACAATGTAAATAGTACATTTTAAAGTATATTACATTTATGTAACATAATATTTTTTTTACAATTTGAAATAATTGATAATATATACCTCTATATAAATGACATAACATTTCTGAAAAAATATTTACCCTATGAAAGAAGTAACAATGTAGTTACTTTAAAAATGTATATATTTAATCTTTATATTTCTTTGTCCTCAAATATTTCAAATGCAAAATGATTTTGTATTTTGTATTTGTTATATCCAATTAAATTCAGAATTGGTAAGTTTTATCTCATGAAGTGAAAATATTCGAAAAATTTATAATAAAGGTAACATAGAGGTTTACTGCAGAATCCCGACACTACCAAAATCTTAACAATACTACTGTTAGAATATTGGTAGTGCCGGGATTTTATGTGTCAGGATCTGTAATAAAACCCTTTTTAATATAGCATAATCAGTTTGAATAGTTTTAAAATGAATACCCTTAAAGTTAACGTTAGTTGCACTTAGTATATTCTCCAAGTAATGATAATCTCGCTATTTAGTTAGGGAACCTGGCATGATCGTCCCAGAGTGTCTAAAATTCATTATGGCATGCCTTTATTATAAAATTATTAAAAAATTATATTCATGTAATCTGATTGGTTAAAGGAAATTTAATAATACGTATTCAAATAAATTTTAAAAAAACTATATATTTTTTATTATACTTATAGTATGGCATGCCAGGGTAGCATCCTGGCATGCTATTTGCTAAACGGCATGCCATATGGCATGCCAAGTGATTTTAGGCGTGCCAGGTTCCCTATAAAGTAGTGATTGGACCCGTCAAAAAAACGCCACCCGGATCACCCGCGGAGCCACCCAAGTAGAACCTGGGTTGGTTAAAAAAAGCAACCCGTCGGGTGGACTCATGAGCCACCCGGGTG